CCCCCCAGCTGCTCCTGGGGGTGCTGCAGCCCCACTCCCCTGGCAGCTCAGGACCAGTCTCTGCTGTGGCCTCAGCCAGCCCCACAGCCCGTGCCTGGGCAAACACCCACACCAGGACACACACAGTCCCAGCACCAGCCCAGAGAGCCCAGTGGAGCAGGAGAAACCAGCACAGCTGTATTTGTGTACTTTCATTTGCACGTTATAGTAGAGAGTTTGTAAAATCAGGTATCTTTGTGAGAAAGCAACATGCAACAACATCCACAGAAAAATAATTTACTTACACTGACACTAGAAGGATAGATTTTTCATGTACTTGAAAGGAGAACAGGAAAAATGACAATGCACAACTCACCTTAGAAAAGGAAATCAGAGATACATTAGTGTCTGAGACTGCAATGCAAAGCACTGCTTTAGTTTCTCTGCTGGCACAGACTTCACATGAATGTATGAGCTAACGGATCTGATTTTTGTAATTAACTGCTACACTTACTCCAGTGCAATTTACAACTGCACAGAGCTGCTTCTGCAACCACCCAGACATACAAAGAAGTACATTGTTTGAAAGTTTTCCCTAAATTATTGAGAAATTGCTTCCTGTCAAGAGCCCCCACTCTTGCTTAGCTTTACTGACAAGAGCATCCCCACCAAGTCACACAACTTAAGCACTGGCAAAGTTCTGTCCTGCTGAGAATTACCCACCTTTTTGATGTAAAATGTTGCTCATCATATCGAGCAGCCAATACATCAAAGTAAAGAAACTGCCTTTTTTTTTTGCCATCAAATAAAAACACTGTAAAAAGTAAATAGATTCTTAGGGTAAATATTAGTTTTAACAATGTTTTGATAAACACTCAAACAGTACTCACACCAAGTTAAAAATTTTAACTCTTGAAGCCTCAGGATCAGCTCCATATAATCTTGATTTCAAGGAAAACTGTATGTAAGCCATCAATGGGCTAAAATTAAATGATATGACTAAAGAAAGGGAAACATTTGGGAAAATACTATCATTTTCTTTTCAAAGAGTTAATGAGCTTAGAATGTCCATCTCGGGACTTTTAAATTGAATTTTGCAGCCAATGCAGTAAGAAAAACTGGCACTTTGGAAGCCAAACAAAAAGAGGAGAAATTCCAACTCTGTACGAGGCTTTAATGTGTACAGAATCTTCTAAAGACTCTTCAGAGGAAGACAGTAAAAATACAGAAAATTGAGGCTAAGGAAAGAAGTCTGGATTTAAAAGACCTGCTGGACCCCCTGGATGTGAGATAGCAAAACAGTTTTAACCAGATACAGAAAGACATTTAATGGACTTAGACACACTGCAGCCACTCTGAGCAGAGCTGTTGGTTGCACACCAGTGCTGGCTTTAAAACAAGGAGCAATTAAAAACATAACACTTACCAAAGCAAATTTAAACCCTCGGAGAGAAGGCTGGATGGTTAGTTTTACACAAGTAGGAAGGAGGCTCAGGAATGTTACAGCAAAACTAAAGAATTTTGTAAGAAAAACAGTTTTAATACATGAGTAACTACATCCATGGTATCATATGACCACTTTTGAAAGCTATGTAAGTTAGGAATTCTGTTGTAATATTCAGAAGTACAACCACTCAAGGAGACTCAAGCACAAGAGACAAGAACAAGTCTTCACTGATGTGCTTTTGAAAAAGGATTGAAGCATTTCCATGAGTAGTTCAGACCCTGTAAAACTAGACTTGAGTTGTTCACTTATTCAGAAAACTGAACTGTGAACTCTTGACTTCTAAGAGCACTCAAAGAGGTCATTCTTTTCAGAGGAAAGCATGCAAATTTTGTAACATCTATATATATGTATTTATATCATCATACTTTAAATCACTATAGAAACAAGCAGAAAATTTTTCAATCATAAATATTCTCTACAATACCTAAGGAAAGCCTTATCACTTGGGAGAAAAATACTGTATAGGAAAGAAAACATTTTTTCAAGAATTTAAACACCACTTCTCATCATTTGACAAAAAATACTCATTTTGAAAAAAAACAAACAAACATGCAAATACAAAACTACCTAAAGCATTTCAGTCTTACCTGAGTTTTAGCTGAGTTTGAGGTGATATTATATTCTTTATCTTTATAAGAACACTTAGACTGCACCAAATATTGGCTACTTTATCCTGGAAGGAAAAAAAAGGGGTATGTAGTAGTAACTACATTAAATTAAACTTAAGATTTGTTATAACAATGGGGCTTGGGAGGTGGGGACTGTTGGGTTTTACCATGATACTGCACAAAGACACTTGCAGATACACATCATGTTCTTAGATGTAATTTAAATTATTCTGATCTTCCAAAATAGGAAGTTTCAAGAGAGTCAATTAAAACATGTTCTAAAATCACACAGAAATAGTTCTTCAGCACAAGATACTACTTTTTAACTCATTTTGTGAGAACAGGGCTCTGAAACTATCTGTTCCTGATGAAACACTGCCCTGTATGAATCCCTGTTCCAATGTGAAGCCATTCTGTACACTGCCACATTTCATGACATACCTCAATGTATTAACTGTGCTTACTGCTTGCTAGCAATGACAGAGTTAACCTCCAATAAATCAAGAAGTCTAAAGACATTAGCAGTTGTGCTAGGATCACTTTCAAAATTAAATTTGTAACTACAGCTATCATGCTCCTGAAACTCATCCCCAAACAGCTGCTGGAATCACAGCTGTGTAGACATAACAGCGAGGAGGCTGCGAGCACCAACAACTGAGCCATCTTCCTCACGTGCTCACCAGCAGCACGGAATATGCACTTCAAATCTGCTGAGGATTACAAGTGAGCAGAGGGTTTGGCAGCACCAGCAAACGCACAGGACTCCTACTTCAGAGCCAATACCATTTTACAACCATCAGCATTTGTTGCTGCTTCTGGAAATGGGAACCAATTCAAAGAACCTGTTCCAGGCAGCCCAGTATAAACTTACTGCTCAGTGCTTACGTGGACAATTTCTTGTTCTATCTAGATTAGCATCCAGCAAGTCACTCCCCTGATCAACTCAGAAAATATTTGGGCTAATATTAGACTAAAATCTTTAAGCTCTTTTGGACTCATTAGGTATTGTCATTTACAGATTTATTTTTAAACGTGGTACCAAATAAAAGGTGTGGTGACCAAAACTATTTATAAATTAAAAAATAATTCCAAAGGAAAAGGGTCATGTTTTGGTGAGGGTTTTGTTTGGTTTTGGGGTTTTTTTCAGGGGTGTGTCTTTTATGGGGAGGGTTAATTTTTTTATTTAAATAAACTAGCAGATAATACTTCCATACTGCTGCCTAAATAAAATGCTGCCTTTGGTACATCAGCACTTATTTTTGAAGAAAAAAGTGCCAGTTCTAATTTTATACGTAAAGAAGTTTAAAAGAAAATGTAAGATGAGTCAAACTGCTTAAATCCCTATGGCATCAAAAACTGAACATTCACAGCTTTGTTTTATTGGTTAAACTTAGAAGTTGAGAATCTGATTTTAAAAGTGTTACAGCAAGACTCCTGCCCTAATTAAGAAACTCAACAACTCAACTGCTACTTGGGAAATGAGCACCCTTTCTTTCATCAGTGGGACTCCTGTGACCTAAGCATTAGGCACATGAGTAATTGCTTTGCTGGATTAAGGCTGTTGGTGCTCAGCACCTTGCAGCATGCAAATGTGGACAGCCTGGGGAGAAGTAAAAGCAGAACTAGCCTAAAACTTTGGGAAAATATTGTGGAAAATTGCACTGAAAATACAAGGTGGGCCAAAAAGGAAGTTCTAGGCTCTACCCAAGACAATATTTTAATTATTTTTTTAAATAATCAATCCTGTTGAAAATAGCTGATCAGAACCAAAGACAAACTGAAATTGTAAACTTTTGACATTGTCAATTACTATGCAATCTATTTCAATGGAAAAATGTATGGACTGAAGTTATGGGTTTGATGATGGGATAAGTGTTGTCTACTCATAAAATATCCTGGAAGATGCCAGCTGAGCTGGGGTTAAATACTGGATTAAATAACTGGCAAGAAATGACTGCTGAAGAAGCCAGCTCAAATTACTAGTTCTGTGGTGTGTCTCCCACATGAAATCCCTAAAGGTCACGATGAAGGTTTCTCAAGGGATCTAAGAATACAGAACATGTACAGCAGGGTGGAGGAGAAAAAAACATGCATGCCTCAAACAAGCCTCGGTCAAT